CTTTTCTTGGCGCTTGCAGCGTTCGATCGGTACAGAGTCGTCTCTGCTCTTCGGTTGGACTTTTACCCGACCTCCCGAACACTGCGCCAGAGGCCTGATCGTAGTTGAACGTCGAAAAAAGCAAAGGCAAGCGCCAACTGCTCGGAGTAGTCGCTATACGCAGAGCTACTGCCGAATGTCCGGTCATCGCGTAGTACCACCGCGATCGTACGATCGACTCGTCGGCAATATCCATTTACGCGCGTAGCCGTAATCAAAAGCTTGTCTCGTGCAGTGAATCAGAAGGGCAACTCGAATTACCGAGCAACGGCACAATGGGTAGTCCGAGGCAGAGGCGAAACGTCGTCCGCCCCGATCGAAGACGCAGAGGGAAGGACGAAGGTCCGTCGCGGAGCGAAGACGAGCATCCGAAGATGCAGCGCCGGGATGGGATTGTCAAATAGCGGTAGCCGCGGCGGCGTCAGACGCAGGAGGAGGGCGGTGCCGCCCTTGTGTTTGCGCGAAGCCCGACTATTAATTCGGTTCCCAGGGCGGCGACACATCACAGGAAGATGCCGAGCGAGGGATCCCGGACGCGCGCACAAAGAGCTCACAGCTAATGGAAACAGAAGCTTGCCGCGCGCGACCGAATAACGAGCTAATAACCTTGCGATTTGTTTGCGCGCGCTCTCTACCGTTGGCGCCCGCTCGAGGCCCGACTCGCGAGCACTTTTTTCCGGCCGCGCTCGTCACCGCCGCTAACTTTTTCGATTAGCGCTCGCCGTGGAAGCGGAAAGCGCGAAGCTCGCGCAGCTAATTAATCCCGATGCGCGACACGCGTCGTGCAGAAAAGGGCGGCCTGCGCCGGAGGCTACGCGATTGAAAACATTCGTCGGACACAGCGCGAACAGAGAGAGAGAGAGAGAGAAGCGGAATGCCTCGGGGGCATCGGATCAAGCTCGGGGCGGCTGGCTGACAGCGCCGGGCTGTCCCAGCAAGTTAATAATCATCAAAAGTCGGAGTGTTTGTCGAGGGCGGACCCGCGCACGCGGCCTTTGTGCACGCGCGCACATGCCCGGGCGGCTTGCTCTTGACGCTAATACGACTCCGCCGAGCTTTATTACGAGTTATTAGAGAGCAGCGTGCGGCTAAAGTCGTTATTGCCGTGCAGCTCCTCGCACTCCGCGCCCGAGAGTCATTGTCGCGATGGTTATTAGACCGCGCGCTCGCGCATTCTGCTTGGCCGCTTTTCCGGGTTGCGTTTCGCGCGACGACGTAGCGCATCCCGGCGGAAGCAAACTAACGACAATGAGAAGGGCATAGCTCGTTGCGAGTCCAGCGTGTCGTTAGCCCGCGCGCACGAGTACACACGGGCGTGAAAGCGCAACCGCGTAATACACGCATTGTCGTACGCGAGAGAGATCCCGCGTGCACGCGCAACTGCGCGCGACGCGCGCATTGTGACGATGAGTAGCGCAGCCGAGGCTGTCAAAATACTTGCGGCTCCGCCTTTCGAGGCTAATTCGCCGAGAGAATCGCTATCCGAGGACTCTCCATTCTCCTCTGCAACGCGGACACCTTGAGAGAAAAAGGAGTGACGAGCCGCGTGGATCCGTTGTTCGGGCGTCGCATTAGCATTGTGCGCGGTGTCGCGCCCGTGGGGCGTTCGAGTTGTTCGAGGGTGATTACGCGCGCATCGGAGCTTTCCGAGTTTTTTTTTCTCGTCTCTTTTTTGGCGGGCTGCGTTTGGTGCGCCGACGCAGAGCAGAGGTAATCGCGCACCTTTTAGCGGGGCCGATCTCTAACGCGATTTACAACGCGTTCACGAAAACGGGCCATTGTCGGGCGCGGAGCGAGGAATCAGGAATCCGAAGCGCCGATGCGTTGCCGCGAACTTGGCGCGAGCCTGCGCGACGGACGCAGGCCAGGCTTTGGAAGGACGAGAGAAGCCTCGTCGAGGCTGCACGCTCGCGCGTCGTCGAGAACGAGGAAAGGGAAGGGAAGGGGCACGGGAAGCTGGGAAAACCGAGAGCAATCCAGGAGAGCGAGAGAGAGACGAGCGAGCGCCCGGTGGTGGGGGCATCGAATTTGCGGAGCCGACAGTTTGACATGCCGGGGGGGACGACGGCACGGAGAGGGGCTGGATCGAGCCCATGCGAGCGTGCGTCTAAAAAAGCACGGGCGAATAATGGACTGCAACCCTCTCTCTTGGCGCGCTCTCCTGGATTCCGGACGCGAAAAACGCCTGCCCCCCATGCATATGCATGACGATTAGCGCAGTCGCCGGCTAAACGTCTCGATTCCCGAAGAGCGCGCACCCTCCCAAATAAAAGACGAGTCGATGTGTGTATTCGCTTGCGCGCGCCCTCAAAGAGACTGCACGCGCACTGCGCCAAGCTCTCTTGACTCTCGACGCTCGGCGAACGTGCTATTGCAAATCTGTCCGCTCTGTCACGCCCCGACTCGCCGTCCTCCTGCCGTGGACTTGTCGCGCTGAACGCTACGCGCGTACTCTTCCCGTCGCTTCGAGACGAATTAAGAGAGCGCGGCGAGAGCGGACGATAACGGCCGTCGGTTGGATGCCCGTGGCGTCGCTGTCGAGGTGGCGAGCGGAGGACTGATACGAGAAGGGAACGCGAGAGCGCGGCGGCTAGCTGCTGATCCGTCTCGAGCGGACGAGCCGCCGGGCTTCCCAATGGAGATCGAGCACTCGGCAGGCTGCCTTTGACAAAGCTTAACCGTGGGCTATCTCCACGGAGGGATCGTTAACTCGCGAAAACGGCAAGACCAGCGTGCCGTGTGTAATCCACTTTTCTGCGTAATCGCGACATCGAAATTGCCCGAAAGTCCATGCGAGCGCGCCGTTCTCTCCGCTTTCCGAAGGCAGCAGCGCGACATACGGCGACTGGCACTCGAGCAACAATGGCGCGGATATCGCCTCGACGAATCACGAGCACGCCACTCACCTTTTCTTCACCCTCGAACGTACTCGTCGATCATTGTTCCGCGACACTGATCGCATTCTGCGCCTCGACTCGACTCCTTCCGCGTGCTCCCGTGGCTCGTCACGGCGATCGCGTCGCTGCTCTCCACATCAGCCGTTGTTTCCACTCGTCTCCCGTTCGGACTTGCCAGTGGACCGTCGTTTCGATAAGCAAGACAATTAGCGCGCGCAGCGAAAAATCAATCCAATTGCCCGCGAGGCAACGAGACGGCAATTAGAGGAAGAAAAAGCGAGAGGCGGGCGCAGACACGGCCGAGTTGAAAAACTTATTCAATCTCCCGCGTCGGCGAGGAAAAAGACGAGGCCAATAAAGACGAGATAATAAAGTACAAGTGCTCGAAGTAAGAAGCCCTCAGCCCACTTAGCCCCTCTAGCAATCGTGCAATTTACGTAAGAAGCGAGAGAGAGAGAGAGAGAGAGAGGGAGCAATTGAAATCCGGGTGAGTTGCGCGCGCGGCGCGCTCCCATTTGATCTCCCTCCTCTTGCCTCGTAATATCCGCGCGCGCGCGTGCGCCGCTGCGCTCCGCCAAACGAATTTATCCGACGATATCGTTTGCCGACGAAGCGAGCGGGAAAGAGAACGACGGAGCGCCGAGCGCGATAGTACCCCGTAATAAATTTACGCCCTAAGGTGGTTAAGCCGCGTTAGCTCTGCTCTTCATATTTCCTCAGCCGACTGCTTCGCGCCGACGTGCAGCCTTCTCTCTTCCGCCCCCTTGCCTTTCCAGATCACTTCGTCCTCTCGCTCGCGGTGCCCACCCACCATTTTCCTCGTCGTCCACGTCCGCTGGCGGACCTTTGCTCTCGCGCCGACGCTCTTCTTTTCTCCTTTCGATTGTCCCTGCAGGCGCGCAATATTACCTCGCTAGCGCGCACTTAGCGCGCGGCGCCATCGCAATTCCAAAGAAAATAGCGGAGGCGAGAGTCTCGCTGAAGCTAGGTATATAGGAGGCCCGCTTGGCGCATAAAACAAGCGAGAAAATCCGCTTACTTTCTCATCGTCTCGCTCGCCTTCCGGCATCTTGTCCCCGTTTCTCTCTTTCTCCCGGTCTCTCATCTCATTGTCGTCGGAGAGAGAAAATTACTTCGCCAACGTCATCGCTCTGATGAGGCATCTCGCTTGTGTCGCGTGCACACATATACGTGCAATTCGCAGCAAAGACGACGAGTTCAATTTGCCGCCTGATTCGGCCCTCCGTCCCGACGGCATTGCGTAATCGTGCCGCGGCCTCCTTTCATTGGCCTCGCGAAGATCGCGTTCGCGCGGCTGTCGAGTTAGCATTCGGCGAAAACCAATCGCGGCGACTTTTCGTCGAGGCCACTTTGTTCTCAGAGCAGCGGAGGAGCGAGCCGTCGCGACGGAGAGCGCTGGCGCGTGAAAAGTGGCCAGAGAGGGATGAATAAGGCCTGGGCGGAGCGGCTCGGTCCGCACCCCTGAGCGTCGCGAGGATACAGGGAAGGAGGATGTCGGCAGGCTTGCGCCGTCGGAGAAATCGAAAGTGAGCGGAATACGCGCGTAGCCATGTTGATTTCTTGGCATGGCTGCTGCTGCCGTCGCCGCCGCTCGCGGATCCTCGGCCACTTATGAATTATTCAGGGAGCGCGGGCGCGCGAGAGGGGCACGCCAAGAGGAGAGGAGACGCGCGCCGAAGCCTCCTTATTAGTGCGCTGCCTCGGCGCGCCATTGTCGCGCTCTCGAACGCGGGGGGCTGCGCGACACTTGCGTTCGACGGATCGTCGGGCTACGGACGCTTCCGCCGAGAACGAAAGCTCGCTCCGGAGTGCGAATCTCAATGCGCGGAAGAGGGGATCAATGAGATTTTGGCGTCCGAGATAAAAGCTTGTTCGGTCGGTGATCGAGCAGCGCCCGCTAATCACGAGAGCCGAGAGCAATCGCAGGCGCCCGGTAGCCGGTCGGATCGTTATCGAGCGCCTTCGACGGTAGCCGTGCCGTCAGATTGACAACAAATAGTCGCGAGCGCCACTGATGGACCTTGTGCTTCGCTGGTTTTCCAGGTGTGGTTCCAGAACCGCAGAGCGAAGTGGCGTCGGCAGGAGAAAATGGAAGCTGCTAAGCTGGGACTCAGCGAGTATCACTTCAGGTAAGGCGTTAAAAACTTGTCGAAGCGTGGCGCGACGTGTAACCGTCGAAATAATCAATGTTTCAGTAACGGACCGGGACCGACGCTGGTACTGCCGACGGATCCGTGGCATTCGCTGCCGGGCTTTTTAGCGGGCCAACCCTCGAGCTACCCGAGCTACATCACGCCCCCCATAGCCGGCCACTTCAGGCACAAGCTCCTCAGTAAGTCTCTCATTCTTCTTGCCTACCGCGCGTCTCTGAATGTGACAGCTCTCACTCCCGCCCTCCTTCTGCCTCGGAGAATTCGAGCTGCGTGCCTGTATATTAGCTGCCTCTGCTCTTCAATGACGACTCCCCGATACGCGCGCACCCCATTGCCGCGCCTTGTCGTTCCGCTCTTCTCTCGATCATTATGCTTTGCTTTTCTTTTCTTTTTTTATTTTTTTTTTCAAAAATAATAAGAAATGATTTGGCCTTTTGTTAAAATGTTTAGTTGGCTTTCAAGATCAAGACAAGCTAATGGATGCACTCAGACGATTACACGAGACGCCATTAAATTGATATTCACCAATCACAGAAGGTTCTCTCTCTCTCTCTCTCTCTCTCTCTCTCTCTCTCTTTTGTCATCATGCATCGCCCGAATGAGCATATTGCATTGCGAACTTTATGTGCATCTGTGCATGGCTGAGTGCTTTTGTGTCGTTCAATGAAAATTAGAGTTTTGAATTGGAACGCTCTTGGCGAATAAAACTCACGCGGAAATGAAATTTTCATATTATTGTCAGACGAAACGAGATATTTGATCTTTGGATAAGACAATGTAAAAATTTGAGTATATAGACATGAAGTAATTTCTACAACAGCTGTCTGGTTATCCAATCCGCATTCCTATATCGAACAGACGACATTACAACAATGATTGTTTCTATGGATTTGCAGTCGAGCGAAGGTACGGCAATCTGGGCAGTCTGACGCCGACGGGTAGCGAAGAGCTGGCAACGAGTATAGTCCAACCGACCGCGTCGACGAGTCCACCACTGGCCGCAGCTCCAGCTTCGGCGACGTCGAGCGCAGGTCCCGACCCGCGCACTTCGAGCATCCAAGCGCTGAGGATGCGGGCAAAGGAGCACGTCGAGAGCCTGAGCAAGAGCTTGCAGCATCTTCCGCGCGCAGCCAGTCCGGCGCCACGCGACGACGCCTTTGTTCCCGTCTCCTGAACGCTCGTCGATCAACTCGAACTCGACTAGTGACAGGCACACGGTGTTTTCTTTTCTCCGAACAGCAGGATAATCAAAAGTTCTCAAGGAAGGAAATCAGGCTTTCCTTATTCAGTGTTACACGCATAGATCTAATCGAGTACAATCATTTACGCGAGCTTTCCTCGGTCTTTTTTCTTTGGCGATCGACGGACGTGAATTTTCAATTGGTTTCGTTGAGCCGCCAGTTAGCGTAACTTTGTGTATCTTTAAGTTACTTTTGTCAAATTTTGCATAACGACTATGCAACGTGTGGTGCAAAAAAAAATCGAAGACATACTTGAGGTGCAATATCATGTACAAAGAAACTGAGAGCTCTGCACCGATATATATTAATAAATAAATAAATATATATGTATATATATATTTATTTATTTATTTATTTATTCATTCATAAAAACACTCTGTCGATAAAACATGTTGTTTTGAAAATGAAAAGTCCTCATAGAAAACAATTCAGCTGCAAAATTTGACGGTTAGTTTTCTTTGAACGAATGACAGAAGCCACTTGAAAAAATGAATTGTTGCTGCAAAAGTAATATATGATCTCGTCTCTCGATCAAATTGGAAGATGATATGTATCTCTCGAGTGTCCGAGACAATCACCGACGAAAAATGTGTAAATAAATGTTGGAAAAGTTGGCACGCCGTCATCCTGCGAACATCGAAATCGCGTACGGGCGCGTACCGTTCAGCGGTTATAGCCCGTATTGCGATCGCGCGCGACTAACTCGCCAAGCCATCTTATAATTATAAAGAGGAAAAGTGTGCTAAGCAAACAATTGTATACGCGCTAGTCGGGCAATAGACACGAGGAGAACGTACGGCAAGTTGTGCGCCCCTAGTATAATGAGCCGCAATCTGACTGCGAAGAGCGAATTTATAAGTCGGAAAACAATGTAATTTGTTATGCGTAATTCCTTCTAGGCTAGTGTATAGCGCGATGATCTGGACAACGCGAACATAAAGGAGAGAATGTATACCGGGAGTAAAGCTTGCGTAGGAAATACGTACGTCAACGGATTGATGAAAGAAAATCAAAGTGTTAATGGTCGACAGTATTAATAAGATATAAGCTAACAGGCTAGTTGCGCGTAAGGTGCCATGGGAGCCATGGAACTTTGCTTTCAACGGTTATTTATTGTCTTCTTGTTGGCGCTCGACGCTCAGGCAACCGAGGCAACTGCTCTGGCGCAATCGCGCCAAGCCAATCACATAATTCGTTGCGTCGAATCATCAGTATAACAAGATGCGGAATAAGTCAATCAATATCGTATACATAACGCTGCAGGATATAAAATGTACGCGAAATAGATGTAAGGGACAAAACTATATAAGCGACACAAATAGGCATCCATTTGTATATATAGCAGTTCGTGATAACAAATAAATTTGATGTACATACCATGGCTAATCTGGCGAACAAGCACGTATTTCTTTTCTACCCGCTCCAGTGGAACCGCGAGGCAGTCGGCGTCGGCCGGTCGTCACGCGAGCAGCGATCAATCAATCGAAGCTCGTTAGCACGTAGCGCTCGGGCGCTCGGCCTCGCTTCAAAGCTCGCCAGAGCCGGATTTGAAATTCTTCCACGGACAGCGACGCCGCGTGTTTGCCGTCGCATTAGCATTTCAAAGAAGAGCCTCAATTAAGCTTTAATTAATTTCGCGAAGCGGCTAGCCGAGGCGACTGCCAGCCAGCCTCCGTCGCTCGCTTTTCTTTCGACTTAATTAAAAAGCCCGCCGACTGCAGCCAAAATAAGCCGAGCGATATTAGCCCTTTCGAGCGGCGGCTTCCGTCCTCCGAGTCCTCCGAGTCCTCCGAGTCCTCCGAGTCCTCCGAGTCCTCCCAGTCCTCCGAGTCCCGGGCATTCTCGTCTCTCGCGGCCGACGACGAGTCCTGGCCCGGCGCCGCGGCGGGGCCCGATCCCGCAGTGGCAGGCGCGGAGGGTAGAGCGAGCGCGTGGCGGAAGGGCAAGGCGATTAGGTATTCCAATCGTCGCGCGCGGCTGGGAGGGGATGCGCTGCAGCCTCGCGCGCCAAGTGGCGAACTCGCCCAATAAAATGCTAATCCCTGTTTGGCCAGGCTAACCATGCGAGCCCCCCGCGCCCCTTCCGCTGCCGCGACTCTCCGGGCACGACGTGCGCTCGCTTGGTAACTCCCAAGACCAATAGGACGCGGCCGACGACGACAGCGATACGGTTTGTTATTCCGCGCGACTTGCGCCGCGCGCTCTCCTCTCTGTTTGTTTCGCACCCCGGCCGCTGCCTAATGGACTTCCCCACTTCCCAAAACCTTTTTCATCTTCGCTTTGTTTTTCTCTCTCTCTCTCTCTCTCTCTCTCGCTCTCCCTCTCGCTGTTGTTTGCGCTGAGGATTTGCAGCCGGAGTTTTTCTCATTTGCCGCGCCGCTGCCGCTGCAATCATCGGTTATCGAGTTACTGCAGGCAAAACCATCCTGTTTTTTCATTCAAAACGTTCCTCGCACGTGCCAAAGTACATAAGCCAGTATCTAAACTGAGAAAACGGTCTAGTTGGCACTACTGTATCGCTTCGTTTGTCAGTGACAACGTTTCGCAACTTTACCGTATGTACGGTGCCCGTCGTGTTGCTTACGACACTCGAGGTCAATTGCTTTGGCAGTTAGTCCAAACTTGCTTGAGTCTTTGAGCATTCGTTTTTCAAGATGACGAAGCAGTACATCGCCGAGACCAAGGCTTTTGCCCAAAGGAAGCTGCCAAGTAGTTGCAGGCCTTGATCAATATCATAAGGTAAGTCAAAGTCGCCGGTGGAAGCCACTGCTTTACCAAATCAATAGAGCCAGAAAACTTGCTATAAATGTACAAAAAATCAACTGTTTTCAGCATTGGATGACGAGCATTTTTATATTTTTAAACCTGGCTCTTACCTCGCTCTCAACGGGATGATCGTTGGTGCTTTCTAGAAAGCATTAGTAGACTCGGCTGGTCTTTGATTTACAATAACTATGATTATATTCTCAAATTCACTTGATGATTCTGAGAACGTTCATGATTTTTATCATCTTATTAGAACATTAGATTGTTGTCGATGATTCAGCTATGCGAAAAGGAACATTTAAACTGATTGCTGAAAAAAGTTACGTTACGTTCAGGATTTCATATAGCGTGTCTATTAGCTTACAAATATCCAAAGAAATGGAGACTAAAAGACTATTAGGCGGGCACCACACGCGACGTAATATGCCCACACAGTACCGCAAAGTGTCTCCTTTGCACTTGCGCGAACATGATGGATTTTTAATCGACCACTCCGGTGCTCCCAATTTAAACTTGTTATTAATTACATTGTACTTTTCTAGAAGAAACCAAGGATCTGCGCATCCGTAATTACGGATTTCATCGGAGCATCTTCATATACTGGAATGAAAACTGCGTTATTTTCGGACGTCGTCCAATTCTTCGTCAATTTTATTACTCATAGTAGCGAATTCGTATTTTTAAATTAGGTAAGACATAATGGTTTTGTTAACGTTATCATTCACGGAAATCGCTCAATCAACTAGAACACTCAACAGATATGGTGCTTAATACACGTAATTACCATTGACGCGAAGTATTAACGCAAGCGCAAGGCGATTAATCAAGATTATCTTGACATTTTCGCTTATATTATGTTTATTTGCATCGCATTCTTTTGTTCACTAACGAGATATTTTAGAATATTATTTCTTAAATTATAAAACTCACAGTTTGTTCGTAGATTAATTAAAATGGAACGTTCATTGGGCACAAAAGCATTTTTCAGTATTTTCAACGTCGTCTCCTCTCAAATTTACATTACGACGTAAGGTTTAACTGTAATTTCGGGCAAAATACTTGTTGAATAACAAGATGAAATAGCATCAAATAATGCATCCTATATTTATGCAAGAAACTATATGATTTCTGTATAAATAGGCGATACCTTGGTCTCGACGAATCGATCTTAGCTCTCCGACCTACTTTGGAGGTGTTCTGAAAAGATGAAGTACTTTATTCGATTAATGCAGGACAACTGATCGCTTCACCTTGCCAATCGGCGACATGGAAATGAAAAGCCTTGAAAGTGCAGCTCGAAGTTTAGTCGAATATACTCAATCTAACTGATGCGTTATCGAGCCACGAATGCAAGTTGTAAGAGTGTGTTCGCAGAAAAGACTAGGCAGTAATCTCGGTAGGAAAGAAGTGTACTTTGTAAAATACGATCGAACGGCGAATCAGAAGGTGGTCTTGAATGCGTTCGAGAAAATGAACGATGAACTTGGATGACGTGCACGATCCAAAGTGTGCGCAAGTCAGTGAGCCATCATCCCGTAGAGTTGAACGAGGACGCGCAGTCGAAAGGACAAACTGAACGCGTGAGTCGGTCGTTTATTAGCCGAGGGTCGGTTAAACGCTCGCGCGGAGATTGAAGGCCCGGCTCGACTGACTATGTCGACGGGCGCCCCCTGGCCTTGAGCTATCGGCAAGGAAATCGCGGACTTATTAAATTTGTTTAGGGACACAGAGGGAGCGAGCGACGTCGACATTTTCAATTCGACGGCAAATATACCGAGACTGCGAGAGTCGAAAAATCTCGGGACTATTACGTGAATCAGAGGCCAATGTTGATCGACCGACAGAGCGAGAGCTGCACGAGGAGCGCCGTTGGATAAGGCCGAGTGGAACAAGAGCCGTATCCAATATTGCTCGGGCGTTCGGCTCGCGTCTAACCTTGTTGGGAGGAGCGCCGGGCGAAGAGACCATATCAAGCGAGTGCACGCACGTAGCACAGCCGAAACGCCAGGCGAGCTTTCGTGATCCTGCACTATAAATAACGCCGCTCGATTTTCATACCTTCGCGGCGGCAGCGGCAGCAGCTCTGTGCTGCGATCGCGAACGCGCTCGTATCCTGCATGCATACAACTGTAGCCCCATTATTTTATATTCCACTTTGGAGCCAGTTCCTCGGCCAGTTGATCATCGAACCTCTCCGGATTAAATCCGCGTCAATTCCATTCCCGCCGTGCGAGAACAATCGCGTGCAGCGGCGTAAAGGTACGCCAGTGGAGGCCGAAAAAGGAGAGAAAAGCGCGTAAGAGGCTTCTTGGAGTGTAGCATCGGATTAATTAAAAGCGAAACGAGTTTTTCGCAGTGTGACGGCTGCCTCTCGGGTTGCGCGCCCGACGCGGAAAGCACGTACTTTCGCGCTCAGTCGTCGTCGGCTACTATAAGCTACACTAGCTGCGAGCGCCAGGAGCAGGAGCCAGAGAGAGAGAGGAGGAGAAGAAGGAGGAGGGGGAGGGGCCGGGCGGCGCCTTTATGGGGCTGCTTTCATTTAAGTTGCTTAGCGGTAGCTAAACTAACCCGCTTGCCTCGGCGGCGGCCGTTTGCCTGCAACCCGTTTAACTCGCTGCACGCGCGCGGCTCTCCGTTCCTCGTCAGCCGCTCGCTCGCCTGCTTTTCCCGACCTGCAAAAAGGAAGAAAAGCCAGCAGCTTTTGTTCTTGACAGAGAGCAGCGCCGGGGAAAAAGGGAATGACACGGTTATTTTAATGAGAATTCAGCTCGTTTGCGGTGCGCTCCGGGCTTTTATCGCCGAGCTCTCTCTCTCCCTCTCTCTCTCTCTCTCTCTCTCTCTCTCTCTCTCCGCCAGCGATTTCGCGCTTGTTTCTCCTGTCTCCGAACCGAGAGCCATCTGCGCGCGCGCTCCTCTAATGAATGCCCGAGCAAATATTATTTCCGCTCGTACGCCCCGCCAACTAACTATGACCTTTAGGCCTCTTTAATTCGCGATAAGCGGAGTCTCTCTGAGCCGGCTTTCTGACGCTGACGACACCTTTCAGCTCTCGTCAAGAGCTATAATAAAGAAATGTCTGCGCCTGATGTCTACTTTTTTTCAAAGCCGCGTCTTTTGTGCCATCGTGTGTTCCTTTCGGAAGTTTTCTTGCTTGTTTATCGTTCAATTACAGTTGTCTTTTGGCAGATTGGGTTGTTTTCAGCAGCCATCGCTTTGCGACTTGTAATCTCAAAATATCACGATCATACGGAAGGAACTTTCTAATTTGCAGATCATCGTTGATTGACTGCAACAGACGTGACCGCAGCGGTGGGACCCGAATAAGTCCAAATAATCAGAAATAAACAGTTTGGCGTCTGGGAGAAAAAAGCTCGTCTGCCATCGGTCCAACTCGAGGGAGGTAGGTCGGAAAAACCGAGCCAGAGCCGGCAGTAGCGAAGCATCGAGGAGAGAGACGACCAGAGCGGGGTGGAGCCAAAGGGGGAATCGCGCGGTGGCAGCGCGCAGGAGGATAAAGCAAAGAGGGAGCGAGAGAGAGAGAGAGAGAGAGAGAGAGAGAGGAGGCGGAGGCGGAGGCGGCGAGCGGATGGAAGGCCCGCCAAATTAAAATCGTTACCGAGCAGTCGCCGCAAACGAGACAAAGAGCGGCCAAAATGTTCCGAAATGAGTGCCGGGCGAGCACGCCGCGATTGTTTTTGCTACTGATTGCTCTCTCTTTCTCTCTCTCTCTCTCTCTCTCTCTCCCTCCCACCTCTCTTTTTTC